TTTTTTGCATACTGCTTCAAGTTGTCTACAGACCAAAGAGAGAGAGGAGTATCGCAAGCTGGTGAAGAAGCTTTATATTGCAAGTAGTAGCATTAGGTAAATTCACGATAATTCATTATCATTTTACAATTTATCTGACACTTTATTTGATATATCCAGCAGTTGCAAAAACGTTGTGAATTGAGATACAAACTTAAATACACATATATAACGAGATTCATACTGAAATACCTATAATGACATGCAGCGGCACGTTGAACATCTATCTAACTTTCTGACAAAGCATTACCAAGACAATAGGAACAGCACCTTCACCGATCAATGCTTGAGATCCCAGGTGTACAAATGACAACCAGCTATGAATTTAACAATTCGTAGGCGGTTACTCTTATTTACAAAGCTTAGCACGCATCTCATTAGGCATATCGTGAAAATCAATGAACTCTGCATGCGAACTATGATCGATGTTGCGGGATTTGTGTATTGAGCAATACTTTAGTTTCGTAATTCGGAATTCRCTAGGAAGTTTGATTGACATACCCTGAAAACCCCCATCTCGACGTGACCATTAAACCGTAACATGTTTCTGTTTACATGAGAAAGGGTGACCCTATCTAGTAATTTATGAATAAAAAATTGAAAAAAATGAATAAAAAGGACAGGTAATTATTTGTAATCTACTCTAAAAAAGGACTGGATATATACGAAAGGMAAAATTTTCGGGCAGRTTCGATTTTCTTGATGTTGAATTCACGCCGATTCAAATTCTCATTTCTACCGTCATTGGTCGTCACTGGTCTTTTCCAGGTCTTTTGAAAACACATGCATTGTCAGTTAGTAAAACAGCAAACTTGCAGACAAACGAATAATAATCGCATCTATGTGCTTTGTTTACCTGGTTTGTCTTCGTTTTATAGTGCTAATTCGGGCTGGTCGGAAATTTTCCTTTCCAGTCAGAAAGTTTGATACCCTCCCTCCAATAAACATATACTGCTGGGTGATTTGAGAAAATGCGACTAGCCAATCAGCGCAAAACTGACAAGCTTATGTTGTAAACATAACCCTCCGACGGGAGGAATTTGCTCAGCAAAACTCGACCCAGTGGAGTAGGCTGCCTTTCATTTTATTCTATCCGAAAAATCGAAGCTAAAACGCAAAGAGAAAGCGAAAATCTTTATAAAATAGCTTTTAAATGTCAATCAAATATTTATCGTTATAGAAATAGAATTTTATCTTAAAAATGAAATAGCAAATAATTTTTTCTTTAAGACCACGACACTCCCCTCCCTGATAAAAATAATTGTTCTGTTTTCTTCGCGGGTTCTCCATTGCATGCGAAGCAATGGCCGACTTCAAGAAGACTTCAGAAGGTCGTTGAAGCGACGTTCAAGTCCAAAGTATCTTTGGAGGAGACATTGCAAATCCTTCTTCTTAGCTCTTGTTTCCTCTAAGCTTTGAGGTATCTACAACATTACCTGGAAGAGCTAGAGCAGCTTATCTCCATAGCGTTTAATATTTTTGGTACAAATCAACTGTCGTAGTTCATCCTTTGTCGCATTTTCGGCAATAAGCCGCAAGCGTGCTCGACAGGTCAGTTACACATTTACTAGCTTTGAACTTACTATACAACGAGAGCTAGAACGGTGACTGGGGTTTTTAGTGTAACGTCTTGATAGCGACTGTTTATGTCGAAACGACTCAAAACAAAATTCCATCGTGAAAAAAGTTCCCTTCTGAAAAACACGTGTGTATTTAAGGTGGAGAATGTTTCATATGAGCATTCCGATACTTAAAGGTTTATTTCTATAATCATTTTGTTTAGTTATGTAAATAAATTCAGCACGACTTGTACTGTTTGTCTGAATGAAAGGCGAGCTGCGGGTTTTCCCTTTTCTTTATTTACACTTTCAAATATGACCGCTTAACAAAAATGCACGGGCTCACTGGCTTACAACCTTGGCGAATTCATATGCAGGCCTGGTCGCAAATCAATCACCCAG